AGCAAATGTTCATCATTATTCTAATAAATTGAGAAAAAAGCAAAAAGAGTTATCATTAAATTGAATGATATGTAAAGGCGATTAATGATGTGTTCATGTTTCCAACCTGTTACGTGTAAGATAAAACTAGTTATATTATTGTATGATACATTGATATACTCATTATAGAAGGCATTGCATATTAAAATGGGGAAGCACACTATATTGTACTAATCATCAATTAGAAGGTCTTACAACTCTTATTCAAAGGTAATCAAAGGGCTATTTTAAACTGTATTTGGATAATGAATTTGAATAGAAATTTGAAAAGAAAAGAAAAGAAAAAGTGAGAAAAATAAAATGAAATAAAAGAGTATCTCCACCCAAACCTCGAAAATTTGGTATGTCAATTTTTTTGAAGGCTTGGATGACAAATTGGTATATTTCAATTTGACATGGAAGTTTTTCACTCGACATGTCAAATCTATTATTATGTTATTTTTAAAATTTAAACTCTTTTGAGGTCATCTTTCAAGACAACCACCTTGGATGCTTTAATTGAAAAAAAAAAAAAAAAAAAAAAAGGGGACATCAGGGGTCTTCATGTCAAAATTGACATGAAGAGATGATATCAAAAGTCACATCAGTGATATCAAAAGTCACATCAATTTTTGACATACCGGATAGAATTGATACTTGATGTCAAAATATGACTGTTGGAGTGTTACATTAGATTTAAAGTATCGGATAGAGGTGCTTTAAAAGGTTGCTTTATAAGGTTTGATCGTTGTATATTGTAGGTGAACGTCCAATAATCTCATGAGCATTGTACCGAGACAAATTTGTTTTAAGGAAATTGCATCGAACACAATTCTAAATTAAAAGTATAGAATTTTTACTATATAGTCTATAAGTATTTCCTTTTTCTTTTTTCTTTTTTTGTTTCAATTTTCATTATTTTTCCAATGCTGTTTCCAAATTCAGATTTTCACACACAGTACACGTAAGATTGTCGAACAATTTATCCACAAAGCGATGCTTTAATGTTCACAGTAATATTAGATGTTTCAGGGAAGAAATCTGTGCGATATTGCTCAAGAAATTAGTTTCAAGTTGAAGTCGTTTCGTTCTTCCTATATTTCTCTAATTGGTTTGTAAGCTTCTTCTACTGTGTAATTTGGCCTTCCCCCGTCTAATGGAAAATAATTGATAACATAAATGTACATATTTGAAAGCGAAAAAATATGTTCATTCAATGCGACAACTTTGATATGGAAGTTTGTTAAAACATTATGGAGGGTGAGAATAAGTAAAAAGCAATCAAATTGATTGCAAAAAAGGACACTTTCAAGTGTGACAAAAATTGGGGATTCAGGTGTCCAGAAGCTTGATTTGGTTGAGGCTCTGTCCAAGAGTGTTGTTGCGGCTTCAAGACTAACACAATCGATGCAAGTACAAACATATCAAACATTATTTATTACATTATTTCCATTGATAATTTCAATTTTTACATGTTATCAGAACATATTTTCATTTGACAATTTAGTCTGACTTGTGCAAATTATGAAGGATGTACAAGGAAGCAGAAGATAAGAAAATACATACGGAGTAGCTTAATAAATCCAGACCAGTGGCTATAGTCACCATCTTGCTCCTCTCAAACATCTTCACAAGAAGAATCATGACAATGACATGTCCAACTTTCGTCTTTAATTCATCAAGCGAGCTGATTTTCATCCATTTAGGCCTCTCCTACAACCAGAAAGAAACATCAGCAAGTGTTTTTTTAGCATTCCATTTTGCAGCAAAAGAGACAAGAAAACAAAGAACCTTGTTGTCTAAATGAAGACTCGTGTATATATGTGCACAAAACAGTTGTTAGGTCTAAACTAATGTTCACAAATGGTGAAGCAACATATCATGCAAATAGTTGGGACTGAAAGTATATCATGTATTAAGAACTTGAATGCTGAATATTAAACTTTAGTTGCCGATCAAAAGATAATAAAAAATACATTTCAGTAAACAAAAAATGCGTACTGCAGCATTGGTTTGGCCAATCCAGGGAGCTTGAATTTTATGAAGTCATCAGAATTTAACAGAGGTAAGACCAGAAGCAGCACAACAAAGGCCATTACCCGCCACTGATCCAACCCAAGGAGCTGGGAGTGCATAAAGAAGTTCATGCAAATGGACGGAAGACCATCACCACAATGGAACCAAAAGGAATATTGTTTAATCACTTTTCAGTGAGGCACTTTATAGTTTTTCTTTTTATTTTCTTTTTTTTCCTGACAAATAATGAGGCACTTTATAGTTAACTACAAGATGAACTTGGTTGAATTTATAGAGAGAATTCATAGTTCCCCCAGTGCTTTAAAATGTTCATCGAGTCTAAACAACATGCAGTGCCCATTTATGAGGTCAATAGCTTGCTAAATGGAAGAATGAGTAGAGGGATGTGGCTACTTGTATCCAGATATCCTACATAGCACAATACATCATCTCCATGTCATCATCTCCATGAACTTGAAACCCATGTGTTGGCCTGGCAAGGCATGTGTTCGCGTGTTCGAACCGTAATGCGCAAGAAATGGTACGTAAACCCCGTATTTACATATCTGCCACTGTGCAAGAGAATCC